ACAAGTGTGACCTTTGTGACCTTGGTAGTTCCATCAATGGTGTCAGTAGTTTATATATATATATATATATATATATATATATATATATATACCGTATTTTCCGGCGTATAAGACGACTTTTCAACCCCTGAAAATCTTCTGAAAGGTCGGGGGTCGTCTTATACGCCGGTGCGAGCCGGGTCAGGGCGGCACTTTTTCGGGGGGGGGCGCGGCGCCGCCCCCCCTCCTCCTCCAACGGACACTGAGTACAGGGGTGGGCCGGGGGGCTGCTGTACCTTACCTGGCTCCGGTCCCACGACGATCCGGTCCAGGAAGCGTGGCTGCTCCTTCTTTCAGTTCGGCCGCTCGATGGTCATGCGGCCGCTCGGCTCCACCTCCTCACCGGTGATTGGGCGCCAGCACTGGAAAGGCACACAGGCGACCAATCACCGGCGAGGAGGCGGAGCCGAGCGGCCCCGCGAAAATCAAGCGGCCGAACTGGAAGAACGATGAGGCACTGTTCCTCCCCCACTGACACCAACGATGAGGCACTGTTCTCCCCACTGATACCAATAATGGGGCACTATTCCTCCTCCCCACTGACACCAATGATGGGGCACTATTCTCCCCACTGATACCAATGATGGGGCACTATTCCTCCCCCACTGACACCAATGATGGGGCACTATTCCTCCCACTGACACCAATGATGGGGCACTATTCCTCCCACTGACACCAATGATGGGGCACTATTCCTCCCACTGATACCAACGATGGGGTACTATTCTCCCCACTGATACCAATGATGGGGCACTATTCCTCCCACTGATACCAATGATGGGGCACTACTTCTCCTCCCCACTGACACCAACGATGGGGCACTATTCTCCCCACTGACACCAATGATGGGGCACTATTCCCCCCACTGATACCAATGATGGGGCGCAATTCCTCCCACTGACACCAATGATGGGGCGCAATTCCTGCCACTGATACCAATGATGGGGCGCTATTCCTCCCACTGACACCAATGATGGGGCGCACTTCCTGCCACTGATACCAATGATGGAGCGCTATTCCTCCCACTGACACCAATGATGGGGTGCTATTCCTCCCACTGACACCAATGATGGGGTGCTATTCCTCCCACTGATACCAATGATGGGCCGCTATTCGTCCCACTGACACCAATGATGGAGCACTATTCCTTCCACTGACACCAATGATGGGACACTATTCCTCCCACTGACACTAATGATGGGACACTATTCCTCCCACTGACACCAATGATGGGGCACGATTCTTCCCACTGACACCAATGATGGGGCACTATTCCTCCCACTGACTAATGATGGGGCACTATTCCTCACACAGTGACACTAATGATGGGGCACCATCATTGGTGTCAGTGGGAGGAATAGTGTCCCATCATTGGTATCAGTGGGAGGAATAGTGCCCCATCATTGGTATCAGTGGGAGGAATAGTGCCCCATCATTGGTGTCAGTGGGAGGAGTAGTGCCTCATCATTGGTGTCAGTGGGAGGAATAGCACCCCATCATTGGAATACCATACTGAAATAGCATACCATATTGAAATCAAATCTGATGTTTTTTTTTTCATTTTTATTTGGTGTGCGTTGGAAGAGGGGTAGTCTTTTACGGCGAGTATAGCTCAAACCCTATATTTTAACAGGAAAAGTAGGGGGTCGTTTTATACGCCCAGTCGTCTTATACGCCGGAAAATACGGTATATATTTTTTTTTATAATTTATTTTACAATATTTGGGGCTTTGGTGAAATTTCAGGGGTCTAAACCGACCTCAAATGTTTCACTTTTGAGACAGAGAAAGAAGATTGAGAACACAGCCCTCAAACTCCTTCTCTGCAGCCTCAGCTGCACAGAAAGAATGGACAGGCATAGCTCTGTACAGAGCTTCCTGTTCATTCACAAACTGAAGTACAGTAAACACAGTTTACTACACTTCAGTTATGAATGGACAGAGTCAATGATCGATACTGATCACTGACTCTCCATTCAGAAATGGAAGGGGCTTGTAAATTAACCTTCCCCCTCTCTATCCTGACAGCATCCCCCAAAACAGCTGTGTGAGAGAGGGGAGGGGGAACCTTGCAGCACTGCAAGGGAGGAGGGGGGAGCTGGGAAAGAGCTCAGAGGGCCACCAGAGAGAACGGGGGGCCTCCAGAGAGTACAGGGCATCAGAGAGCATGGGGGGCACTGAAGAGCACAGGGGCCACTGGAGAGCAAGGGGGACGCCGAAGAGCATGGGGGCCACTGGAGAGTATGGGGGCCACCAGAGAGCATGGGGGGGCTTCTGGAGAGCACAAGGAGGGCAGCAGAACAAAGCTGTATAGAAGGAGTGGTGGGGGTGGCTGTATATAGAGGAATCAACCTCTCTATTTTCTTCCTGCAGTCGCTGAATGGCCACTTCTCTTGCTCTCCCTCCCATAGGCATTCAATGGCTGCAAGAGGAACAAGGAGAAATTGATTGCTCTACATGCAGCTGCCCCCGCTGCTCCTCCCACCCAGGCGTACAGGGGGGGGGGACCACACAGGCCCCCTGCAGCATGGGGCCAGGTTGCAATTGTGACCCCTGTAGGTATGCCTATTTATTTATTTAAATAATTTATTTATGTTTTGCCTTTCTCTGGATCAACTATGGGTATCATATAATGTATATTGAGGTTTTCTATGTGCGTGTGTGTGTGTGTGTTTTTGTTATTGGTTGAACTAGATGGACTAGTGCCTTTTTTCAGCCTAACTAACTATATAACTATATAACAAAATTTATGGCAGATCAAACAGGTATTTGATTGCAGTTATCAAAAAGGTATAACTAAATGCTTTCAATCGTATATTCTATTGACCAAAAGGGAGCAAAAAACAGACGGCAAATGCTACGGTTCATATACACTATAACACAGAGCTATATAATTTTAAGAGCAAGACATAAATGAAGATCCCAGCATAGTAAAAATTAAAAATGTTGCTTTAGCTGTAATACTCACATTTATTCCAGTGTCCCCACCTTCAGAAAATACATTCATCCACGAAAAAGTGCTTAATTTCTAGGCTGAATAATGGCCAGATTCATTCAACCCATTTCTTATGAGCCCATGTTAACATGACCGTCCTACCCCCCACCCCCCGTTACATGCATTCTCCATTTACTCATTTGGCTGCTTGGATAATAGAAAGAAAACTATGATGTGCGCCTAGCTTTATTCTCATTATGTAATACAAACTATAGACAGAAAATGCTAACATTTCAGTTCATAAAATCAATAATAAACCAGAGAAGTTATTAAACTAATACATAAAATTCAAATTTTAAACTGACTTTAGAGTAAATATACATGGTTATTACCTTTATTGCCAGAAGACAAAAAAGGGAAAACATTTACACATATTTGTAGCTATTCTTTTATCATTGTAGCCATTTTGCATTAGCAAGGTGGCAAGCGCTAAAATTCTCCCCTATCTTCACATACCAAGCCATGTAAAAGAGCTAGTCAGAGTGAAAAAGTGATCATTTCCACTGAAATATATCACTAAAATTAAATTTTAATGACTTACAAATGGTTTATAACATTCTTTTCTTCCATGAAAAGTACTTCATGAATATTTGAAAAGAAAATTTAAACGAATATGAATCTCTTGCAAAGAAAGAACAGTGTAGCAGCCTAATGAATATAATTACTTAATGCAACAGTAACATAAGAAACATTGTCTCAGAGCTTACATGCAGGCTGTAGTTCACACACACAATTGTGTAAAGGTTTTACTAATATTCACATAGAGAAGCATTTCATTATTCATACTATTTTAAAATATTAGCTGAAATGTTTAGTGTGCATGGGAAGCAAACGTTTTATTTGCATTTTTGGTTTATTTTCCTATTATATGTATTAATACTAAGAAAAAAGTGACAAGAATATCAAAGAGAAGCTGCTTTCACAGGACACACATGGTGAATCAGAAACAACTAAGTTAAATTAGGTACATAGAAGATATCTTTTAAATTTCAAATATTGAATGAAAATAGTATCAAAAATCACACACATATATACTGTAAATACCCTTCTTATACAACATTGTCTTTTTTTTATGGCAGAAGGGTATTTATACATGTATGTGATTGTTGGTACTATTTTAGTTTAATATTTGACATTTAGAACAATATTTTATATTTTTTAAATTTAAATTTGACTGGTATTCTAGTCATCTTTTTTTCTTTTATATTAATACATATGCACTGACTTAGTGAGTTGGCATTTTTCTACAATTTAAACCATGTTACTTCTTTATTAGCTATACAAACTGACAGGGATTTTAATTCTTCTCCGCTGTGTCCATCTCACTGAATATTGCATGTGATAAAATAAATATAACTAAATGACAATTATTTTTTTTAGTTTTGGATAGGGTGGAGAGGTAGAACCCCTATTAGGTTTGTATTGCTGTCTGTACCCATTAGGGAGATGCTCCCTCTCTATTTGTCCTGTTTACCAGTATCCTTGAAAGGGAAATTACAAGACCATTCACAGCTAGACAAACTTGTATACAATGGATGGCATGAAAGGAAGCCATCAATTGTATACAACTGTCATGTGACCTGCTGTGATTGTTCACAGCAGGTCATATGGTACTAGCAACAGGGCCCGTACACAGATCTGTCATCGGCCGTGTCCGAGGTACACAGCCGGTGACAGATCGAGTCATATGGCGACAACCCGGAGGGATGAGCTGTTCCCCCCCGGCCGCCATCTGGCTATAGGCTGGGCAGCAACTGGTTAAACATGTTCAGTAAAAAAAAATTTTAAAATCTAATTTTGTCATAAATGTAGGTCAAAATGTATTCTGCTACATATCTTTGCTAAAAAAAATCCCAATACGTGTAAATTAATTGGTTTACATGAACATTATAGCGTTTACAAATGGCGATATATATATATATATACTGGCATTTTTTATTTGGTATTTTTACAAGTAATGGCGGCAATCAGCGACTTATAGCGGGACTGCGTCTGCCATTCTGACATGGGGGGAAACTGACTTGGTGTCACTGACATCCCCAGTGACACTAATACAGTGATCATTGCAAATAAAAAAGCACTGACACTTTACTAATGACTCTGGGCAGGAAGGGGTTAACGTCTGAGGTGATCAAAGGGTTAACTGTGTGCTGTTTTACTATAACCTGTGTCTGTTTGCTTCACTGTAAGCACACTACTTTGGATGGCTGACTGTTTTGGATGGCTGTGCCGTGCACAGCCATCCAAAGCAGTGCGTATGAGCTGACAGGGAGAAGAACTGTTTTGTTTACAAACAGTTCTCCTCCACATCAGAGATGCTCAGCAATCACCGGGCACCGGCAAGTAATCACCGGCCAGGACTCCATGACAGCTGCGGCTGCGAATGGCGACGCGGTTAAGGGTTGCACATGCCCCCTACCCAGAAATGCAATATCACATATATATACACAATTCCTTTTGGAAGTTAAATACATTTAAAGAAAACCTGTTTTTGGAAGTAAAACTGGCTATATATGATTCACTTTTTCTTGTTCAGCCAGAAGGCTGAATGGAAAAAAAAAAGCAAACATGTTCTTTCATCCACATAAACAAAGTGGATAAAAGGATGAAGAAAGCCCCCACCCTCACCCCCACCCCACCAATTGTATTTTGAAAGCTGGAGTCTGCTGTCAGAATACACTGATCAGACAAAAGTTTTTCAGCCTGTCCGTTCAACCAAAGACGATCCTTAGATCAACTTCTGTGGAATGGTGACAGTCACACACGAATCAAATTTTAGCTGGTCCTTGTTGAATCACCCAAATTTCATTCCATCTATGGTCATCTCATGCTGCATAAATGGAATCTATGACAAGTAAAAAGAGCAGACTATGGGAACCAGTCCTGCAACAGGGACAGCCAACAGTTTATAGACAAAGTCAAATTTTCTTTAATGGAAAAATATGCATATCAGGGCTCTAAATGATGTAAAAGTACACTAATTTTTCACTTTATAAAGAAACCTAGAATATGTAATTCTACAGTGCAGTCTGAATACACACTCCAATATGTAAATGTGCATGGTGCATGAATATTAAAATGCAATGAAATTAATTCTTAATAATATACACGTGTAAGTTTTAATATTATAGCTGATCCAGAAACAAAATTGCTTTAGCTAACCATCCATTTCAGAGCAATCAAATGTGATATCCAATGTAATTGTAATGTATCTGTTTGGGGAATCAGAGCAATTACTTCATGAGTCTCTTTCTTTTCTCTTTTCACACAGGAGCCTTTGAGTGACAGCTCTGTCACAGGTCCCTGAGCCGTATCCAAAATGAAACACAATAAACCTGGGTGTATGCAAATGACTAGTCATGGCTGGATCACATTCATTTATCTATACAAACGATAAAAGGGATAAATAAAGTACCTCTGCTAGATAAGACAAAATGCCTGTAGTTCCTGCTTTACACCTTTTTTTTTTTTCCATAATTGTTCTTTGCTATACCATACTCAAGATAAAATGAGGTCTATGCGTAACTGGTGCATTGTATAAATACAAAAAAGCACACAAGGCTCCAACTTGGGCTGACATACTGTAATATTTGAATCTTTTTCTGTCAACAGCTGTGGAAGTGTGAAAGTGTCTCTCCCTCTTTTCAGTGCCAAAATACTTCTCACACCAAGAATAGGAACATCCTCAAATAATTACAAAAACAAGACAGGGAAAGAAAAAAAAAGGAGGGCCAGATTTAAAAGGAATATGCAGTGGTTTTCTACATATGTTCTTTTTTATGTGTAAAGGTCAATCCAAAAAACAATAAAATGTTTAAAATATGTTTTTCATTTTTCTTAGTTAGAAGCTATAAAATTTATATTCACATTAATATGTTGCATTTCATTTACAGCCAGCTAGAGGGGCTTTAGCCCCTTTGTATGTTTACCATTGTATTTCTGCAGATATAATGCTTAAAGAAGCTTGCTGTTTACAGAACTCAGCAAGTCATCACAATCATCATCACCATAGCAATGACCAATGCTGTATATTCTGACCCCAGAGCATCACTGGTTGTCATGGTGCTAGCAGCCGGACCACTTGTACCATGGCAACTATGACAGTGATCCAGGGAAAACTGGGCCCTGTGCATGTGGCACCTCAGACATTCTACACTTTGCTTCTGGGTCAGTAATAGGAAGGGAAGAACAGGAAACCAACATTAACTAGTTTCTCTCGCCTATACTCAACGGCACCCACCATGCCTGGGACCAGCATGGTCCTAGGTGTGCCAAAGGGAAACATGGCAGGGGCATGCGTGTGTGTGTGGGGGGCTACAGTAACAGGGTGCAGCCACTGAATCACCTTTGTATTACAGCGAGCAGTTGGCTTGTCAGATGTACATGCACTCTGCTGGAAGTGTGTGCAAAACCACCTGCTGCCACCAACTAATGATGTATGTCCTGCAACTGTTAAGAAATGCTGCTTTAGGGCATAGTAAAAAAAAAAAAAAAAAAAAAACAGTCTACAAATATATCATCTTCAAAAAAAATAAATAAAATGCACCCTCCACAAGTTGGAAATGAACAAGTTGATAAATGTTTGCCGCAGCAGCTGTCAGTATATTCTGACGGTGATTAGCTCAGGTCAAAATTTCACAGTGTTATGGTAGGGGGTTCCTTCATCCTCCTTAGTTGTGCTGATGGAGGAATCTGTTTGCTTTTTTTTTTTTCATTCAGCCCACTGGCTGAATAAAAAGCAACATCTACGAGTGGCCACCTTTAGACTGCTGCCCTTAGTACTGGCCAGTGAGCATCATTATAGTAAACACCACCCTTAACCCCTTGGTGCCAGCACCTCCTGGCCCTTTAAGGGTTTCAGAAGCTGGGAGGTGGGGCGGGGTTGTAGGGTCATGTGACCGCCATGATTCGCCATCACGGCAGTCACATGATCGGGAAAGGTCCCGATCGAAAGAGGAGATTGGGACCTTTCCGTGATTACTGGACATGTGTGCTGGGAGTGCGCAGGGCTTGCGCGCGCTCGCAGCACATATTTTTTCTTAATTGCACGCAAATGTGCTGCTGCTTGGCGTCAAGACCCAGAAGCCGGGAGGCCGCACATTTGCGTGCGGCAGGCACAAGGAGGTTAACCTTGTAGACTAGAAAGCCAGAAACAAACAATTTTTTACTTTTAGGATCCTGGCCTGTTTCAAGCATCTAAAAAGTGCTAGTGGGTCTCACCAAGAATAATAAAAAATCATTAAAAATATAAGCGTTTAACAACATAATATAAAATTGGCAATCTCTGTTTAATATTTTGCTTTTATGAAGTGCATAAGGCAGCAGGTATTCAGATATCCCCACTGCTCCCTCTTCACCAGCTGTGATTGATATTGGCTTTCACTGCTGTCTCTGATCCTATGAGAAGGAAGAGAGCCGAGAGAGCTGCTGCTCGCATGCACAGCTCTGCTTCGAGATCAGGCTCAGGAAAGTATGGGGAGGGGGGGCTGCATTAGGAAGGTTTTTACTTTAATGCAGAGAAGACATTAAAGTAAACAAAAAAACCCATCATGCTTTAAAACCCCTTTAACCCTTTCCCTGCCAGGTTCATACTGACAAACATTCCTCCTTTGCTATAAGCTCATGGTCACTTCAGCACTGCCAATTACTCCACCTGCCCCACCATCAGCACCGATCCCCTGTGGCTCTGCATTTACTGTCTTCCCTCCTCTGCCACTTCCGCCAGTAATTGCAACGTCTGCTGCTATGACCCCCACATCATTCCCAGGCCCCCCAGCACCTCCAATTACTCCACCTGCCCCACCTCCAACACTGATTCCCTGTGGCTCTGCAATTACCGGCTTCCCTCCTCTGCTTCTCCCACTGGTAATCACAGAGTCTGCTGCTGTGACAGCCACAACGTTCGTGGCACCCCAACACCGTCCCCCCCCAGCACTGGCTGATTACTCCCCCTGTTCCTACAAGTTGCAGCTGTGCTCTCCCCCTTTGGTGCCCCCCAATGATCTCACGTGCCCCCCCATGCAGAGCTGCTGGCCGGAATTCCCTCCACCCCCTCCTGCCAGCTGCAGCTGCTGCCAGGTAGATTGTGACTGTCAGGATGTAGAGCAGGGGGCTGGTAAACCTGTGTTTACCAGTCCTTTTTCATTCCTGAATGAACATGTGATTGGTAGCTATCACTCTGTTCATTCATCACTGACACAATAGTAAACTGTATTTAATATTTTCAGTTTGAGAATGAAACATAGAAAACAGAGTTTACTATAACATCTTATGAATAGATAGGAGTCAGTACTGACTTCTATTCATCCATCTACAGTGTAGATCAGGTTGCAGAGAAAGGTACTGTCTTCAGTTCCTTTCTCTGTCTCCAAAAGGAGACATTAAGGGCCTGTTTAGACCCCTAATGTCTCTCCATAGCCCCCCCCCACCACCACCAAAAAAACCATAAAAAATCTGAAAAAATAAATCATGTGCTTTCACAAAATATATGGTTTGGAGTGTCTTTCATAAACTTCAAAAGCTATAGGGGAAAAATTTAAACCGCCAGATTTTTCGAGAAATTTGGTTAATTACATTTTTGCGTATGTTCAATTTTCACTATTTCGCAAAAAGGGACAATTTAAAATTTACAAACATTTGTTATTTATTAACTCAACACAGGTCAAGCATTTATATTTTGTAGGAATTTAACAGGATTTTTGTAAACTTTGCTGTGATAGCATCTGCTAATAATGATTTTAGTGTATTTGTAGTGAAAATATTTTGATAAACATTTCCGCAAATATCACGGAGCCTTAACAATCAGTAGCACCTTCTTTTCATTCTACTAGTCATGTGTTTCAGAAAATATATGGTTTGGGGGCGGGGGTCTTTTATAAACTTTGCAAGCTGTAAGGCAAAAATTAAAACCTCCAGCTTTTTAGAGAAATTTGATTATTTACAGGTACAAATTAAAATTTACGAATATATGTTATTTATTAACTCAATACAGGTTAAACTTTTATATTTAGCAGGTATTTTATAAAATTGCCTATGTTTGTATCTGCTAATAATAATTTTAGTGTGTTTTTACTGAAAATATTGTTTCGATAAACATTTGTGCAAGTATCACGGGGCCCTAAAAATCAATAGTGCCTTTTTTTTATTCTACTTGTCATGTGCTTTCAGAAAATATATGGTTTGGGGAGTCTTTTATAAATTTTGAAAGCAGTAAGTGAAAAATTAAAACCTCCAGATTTTTAGAGAAATCTGGTTATTTACAGTTTTGCATACGTTCGATTTTCACTATTTCACAAAAAGACACAATTTAAAATGTCCAAATATATGAATTATTAACTCAGTACAGGTTAA